AACGGGGGGGGGGGAGGACAAGAAGTCTGCATACACTTTACAAGTAGTCTGCCATTTGAAAAAGAGTTTTTCAGCAACACATTAATTTATCATCTTTCTCATTTATGACTTAATCACCTCCTACCATTTGAACCCTCCAGCTACACAATGCAGCCACCCCACCCACAGAGTACCAAAGATGGTTGTCACTTAAACAGGAACAAAGAAGGTGTCTGAACATGAATAAGGAAGGTCAACAGGCCAAACCTATATACTTACTTGAGCTCTTCCATCATAAGCAATGTTTTGCACCATTGCTGCTAAACTGCCATACTATTCTTGGCAAGTGGAAAACAGATGTCCAGTTTTCCAATTAGCCAAAGAAAATCCTCTGACCCACTTACTTATAGGTCAGAGATTGGTGCAAGGGTTGGATGAAGAGTCCCCAACTAAGGGTTGCAGCAATTAACATAAACACTTCAAGGGCCAGATATTGAATGAGACTGGGTTGTAGTCCAAGTATTGGTACAAAAGAACCAATTCTGTCCTTTCAGAAGAATGTAAGAAGTTGTCTTGTACCAAGTCAGACCACCAGTTCATTTAGGGGGGTTGCAGACTGCCAGAAATAGTGCAAATTGAGTCCTCTTTTAGGGTTAGGGTTAGTGCTAGGGAATCATGGGAACTGTATTTTATTGAGGCACCAGAGCTCTCTGACAGAGAAGGCCCAATGTCTCAGGAAAAAAAGCAATTCCCATGATTCCCTAGCACTAACCCTAACCCTAAAAGTGGACTCAATTTGCACTATTTCTGGCAGTCTGCAACCCCCCTGTTCAGTATGGTCTACAACAATTGCAGAAATCCACAAGCAGTTCAGACAGGAGATTTTCTGAGATTCATTTGGAAAATTTGGAAAACCTTTGGCCTTTTGCACACAAAACATGTGCTCTAGCATTGAGTTAAAGCAGACTGAAAACTTAGATGCCATATTGTCATAGGATCACATGTACACTTAGAAATTAATTTAAGATCTCTCAAATCAATATATATTTTAAGATCTCTCAAATCATTAGGGGAAAAAAACCTGTGATTGAATAGGATCAAGATAGGTATTAAAAAAAAACTTTCCCCAACAATCTTTCCACCAAAATAAGTTTACAGTTTAAGAAGAGAGCTCAAGGATAATGCAATATTGTGGGAAATACAGAGGGGTTCTCTGTTTTCACTCTAGAAACACCTTTGGTGTCAATTACATGTAACTACAATTTTGCACTACTCCAGGAGGGAATTCTTCACTGCACTTGGTGTTTTGCTTAGCAGTCTGTATTAGTTTTGAACTGATATCAGGCATTACCTTCAATAGCAAAAATAAACCAAAAAAAAACGCAACAGAATGTGTCTATTTACTTGAGAGACCAGTTTGCCTTCTCCTGTCATGGAGACATGTTGAAAACTGGAACAAAAGAAAGCCTTAAAATAGACAGCTTGACTTATCACAAATGGTGAGCTTAAGCACTACAAAATTCTCTTCTTTATAAAAGGTAGGCTACATTCATCTTGGAGTTTTGCAATCAAGAATGAAATGAAAATTTAATCTAACGAATAACCTCCAAACAGATATAAAATATTAATAACAAGAGCAAACTCATGGAGAAGGGGCACTTCCTGCTTTTGTGCAATGTGCACTATTTATTTCATATCTACTTCCATTTCAGCATTGAACTGCCTTGATGCACCTCACCACCACAGCCAAATTAAAGATGGTTTTTTTCACCCCATTATTTCTGAAATGTACTGCAGCCAGCATGCTATATGCAGTGAATAGAAGAACTAGGAGAATTAAAACCATGCAATGAAACAGCTTTTTGACGGATAAAGCTATGGAAATTTTAGGCTCCATTTACTTCTCAATCTAATTTTGCCCTCTGATGCACATTATGCCCGAAATGGGATCTCATGTGGTTTGATCACTGCTCTTAACGCATACCAGAGCAACACATTTCTTCTATTGTTGTTTCTTTTCAGTGGCATAGCAATGCTTTTAATAAGAACAGCTCAGCAGGCACTTATAGGACATCTCCCTAGTATCTCTCAGCCAGTATTAGGAACTGCAAAGATGGTAAAGACAACTTTCCATTTGGAATACAGGTTGTCTCCCTTATCCAAAATGCTTGGGTCCAGATGTGTTTTGGATTTTGGATTTTTTGAGATTTTTAAATCTTTGCATATGCATAATGAGACATCCTGGAGGTGGCATCTAAGTCTAAACATGAAATTAATGTATAATAATTTATGTTTTGTATGCACCTTATATACATACCATGAAGGTAATTTTGTACACAACATTTTTAATAATTCTGTGGATGAAACAAAGTTTGTTTACAGTGAACCATCCGAAAGCAAAGATGTCACTATCTCAGCCACCCACGTGGAAAATTTTGAATTTTGGAGTATATTTCAGAATTCTGGATAAGGGATGCTCAACCTCTATCACCTTTCCAAGCTTCACCTAGTTTGATCTGATTAAAGGGATAAGCTACAGTGATTAATTAAACTATTGTGCATAATTTGAACAACTCAAACCTCAACTTCTGCAAAAACTCATGTATAATTCTAGCCATTTTAGTAAAAACAAAATGACCCCAAAATTGGGTCAGTGTATCCACAGGTCAACGTAAGTACTGTACCTTAACTCTTATCTAAAAGGAACCATCCCCTTCTCTGAGTAGAGTGGCAAGAAGTAAGTGCCTAGTCTGTCCAGGAGCACCTAAAAGAAGAACCAATCCCCTCTGCTTCCTCTGCTGAAGCACTGTTTCTGGACTTTTTAAATGTCTGAATGGGTAAATGATGTTCACAAATGAGCTGTGAGAGGACCTGGACTTTGAAGGATCTGAATAAGACATCTGTGCATGTTTGCCAGCTTTTCTAGATTAAAATCGGGCAAAGTTATCACATTAAAGTTGTAGGCTGTAATAATTGCTAACAGACTCACCATCTTCTTTACTTTGCCTTTTCATCCTTTTTGATGTGTACATTTTTGTAGCCACATTTGTATCTAGTTGCCATCCCCACATACCACACAGCCACCATTTCCCATACTTACTTCCTTATCCATCCAGCCTTTAGGGTGAGTACAAATAATTATGTCTGCTGGAATGATGTTACTTCTTTGGAATCGTTTTCCTGTGCTTTCTCCTTTACATCCTTTGTTACATGCCCCTAAGTTTTATCCTTGATTTATCTATCCATGTGTCATATCAAAATCCATAATTTTTGCCTCAAAACCTTCCCTCAACTTAACATGGGGTCAATTTGTAGTTGAGTCTATACAGTAAGTGCAAAATAAGAAAGAGGAAGAAGCAAGACAGTTTTGCTAGTTTTCTTAATGGATGGTCAAAACAGAAACTACATCATCTGTCCTCCTTTATGAAGTAGTTTTTTAAAAAAATTAAAGAACTATTTTTATGAGGGAAGGCCTACAAAGGAATGAACAGTATGTTTACAGTTTGTTGATGCATCATGTTTCTCCTGTATGACATCACTTGCTGACTTGCAGATTGCAAAAAGCACTGTGTTTGAGATGATATACTGTAGTGTTCTGTGTGTTTTGAAGGTTGTCTGATGGGACATGATGAATTGTTCTCACCTTGTAGCTACAATTGCTGATGCAGTCAACAGAGTGATGAGCACATGTGTCTGAAAGCAATGGCCACTGGTAGCTTCCAGTAATGTCCTGTTTATCTCTTCTGAGGACAGCACCGGAGAGAAATAAGTGAAAGAGTAGCCAAAAGTCTGATCCACACAACAAGAGTCCAGTACTTAATAGCAAAGGCAGAAGTAAAGTCACAAGACAGTTCCAGAGGTCAGAAAACAGGAGTCTGATAGCAGAGAACAGGGTACACAGCAACTAGGGGGGCTACAAGACTGATTGTTAGCTGCAGAGAATCATATCATCTGGAGCCTTTTTAAAAGTCTCAGCATGCCTCAGCTGATCATGATTAGCTAAGCCTCAGCATGCCTCAGCTCAAGGATTCCTTGGCTTGTCTTCATTCCACAGGCCCTAGTACTGGCAGCATAGAGTCTGTTTCTCCATCTGCAGCCTCCTGCACTTCCTCTGAGACTACAGAGCCTCCAGATAACCCCAGATTTGTCTCCTCCTCAAGCCCAGAGTCTGATTCTGCTTCTAAAGCAAAGTCAGACCCAGGGCAATCCATGACACCACTCCCTCTCTATTATGCTCTTCCTCCCCAGACAACAGGAGACCTGGTTTAGCAGGATAATGGTGGTGGAAGGCTCAGACCAAGTCAGGAGCTGTCCGGGAAAGCTGCCAACACGTGGCTGATAAAGACAGAGGTCT